GAATCACTACCAAGAAATGTAAAACAAGTCTAAGGTAAAAAAACTAAGCGAAAATACTATAATTGCCCACATGCTAAGCGTGAAAATTGTGGTTAGACCATATTCAAGGAAAAATGCCTCATCTCAAGTTCAAAAAATCATATCATTAACATTAAAAAATACATTCATAATGCTTGGTAAGTCAGTGAATCAAGTAAATAAAGCACCCGATTATTATATTTATTAAATTTTATTTGGTAAAAAAGGAGTACTCAATTTATTCGATACTGAAGTTTTTTTAATTAGATACAAATTAATGAAAAGTACTACATTATTACATTTGAATTCAATCTTTATGGATATTTCCTCAATAGTTGATTAAGTTTCATTTCTTTAAGATTCCGTTTTGTTGTAAATTTTTAGATAAATTTCTCAGCGAATATCTCAAATACAATTTTGATGTAATTCAGATTACCGTTCTGAGAAATTTGCGGATGTAGTCAATTCTCTTCCGTAAAAGAAATTCAAAATTCAACCACAAACATCAACAGCAAGAGGAAATAACAAATGTCAAATGATGATGATGTGTTGTATAATTAATTTATAACATACGTAGAAGAACAATTGAATCAGATTTGGCATATGAACAAAACTGTCGACAAAAAAGTATTAACTGTCGAGAATTTTAGAATATAACTGTTAAGAACGATAGTTTATTTCATTAGATGATTTCATAACTCTCGAGATTGAACAAAGAGCACGAATACCTTAGTCTTTCTATAGAAAGCAAATACAAGGAGTTCCATCATAATTAAGACAAAAAAAAGGTTGAATAGATAATTATTTCATAAAAACAGTTATTTAATAAAGGTTATAGTTTCATATGCTTGTGCTGTGTATGTGAATGTCTGATCATTTATCTTTCTTATTATAGAAGTCAAGAAATTGGATTTTTTGCGTTTCTTGACTGCGCAAACAATAGACACTTCCAAGTCTGGACTAGAATTAGAAAATATGCACTTTTAATTACCAATATTTCGGACATAACAAAAACAAACCTAACTATCTTTTAAGTGGACTGTTTAATTTGTGAAGATTAAAGTTTTGATAGTTATGAATTCTCAGCAGATGACTAATTCTCGACAAATTAATTATATGACATATATATCGAGATGAACTATTGTTCTCGATAGTTAGTTTCGGTTATTTTCGATAGATGACTAAATCTCAACAAATCATTTGTGTCATCTGTGAGTATGAACTGTTGTTTCGAAAGTTAAAGTCAGTATTTCTCTACAGATGACTACTTCTTGACAGATCAATTTTGTAGTCATCTGTCGACATGTCCAACTTTGATTATGGTTAATAAGTGGGTTTAGAAGAATTTGGTAGAACTACTTGTTCAATTTTATGAAATGAATAGGTGAATTATTAGTATTCTTAATATTTCTTAATAGAAACTCTTATTTATTTCATAAAATTGAAAAAATAATTCTACCAAATTATTCTAAACCCATTTATTACATATTCTTCTCATGAACAAAAGAAAGGGAAAGTGGTCCATAGCAGCTGAAGTTATCAGTAGGAATACATGTATTTTATCAATATGAAGCACCACAAATTTTCCATCCATAATAAAATCCAAATTGAAGAAAAAAGGACAAACAAAATATTAAACAAAAATCTGTTAGGAGATAGTCCACAACAATAGGTTGCAGCATAAAGGATGAACAAGCTTGAGTTTTGACTAGTGCAAATGAAGATTTCGTCCTTGATTTATAAACAAAATCCTAGAAATTGATTAGAGTTTAGACCAACTGAAATCGAACAAAACTTAAATCGAAATTCGGAAGTCACCTCAAATCGAGATTTATGAAAATTTCTTTACTTTTGCTGAACCAATTTCTAAACCCGTAGAAACTTTTGAGAAGATTTTCGAAAAATCAAGAGGGAGGAGAGAGATGGAAATAGATATAAATTTTGTAATCTTTCCGTTCCAATTATATAGGTTTGCTTCATTTTTCACAAGGATTAAAAAATCTTCTTTAATGTCATTGAAAAATTAATTTTTGTCAAGATCTTTTTCTAATTTACTCCCATTTAATTTTCAGTATGTAGTAATAAATTTTTGTTGAAACTAATAAAGAATTTTATTGATTTAATTTGAAGACGAAGAAATGAAAGTTGTTCCGTATTTCTAAGAAGTAAGAAATGTGTGTAGTTGGATAATTTCAAGAAGATGGCATATTAAGTGAGAAAAATTGAAGTGTACATTGGTAAAAGAACAAAACAAAATATTCTAAATTAGGGAATATGTTCATATATTTGGGACAAGAAAAAAATGAAACTCAACTTATATAATTAGGACGAAGGGAGTACAACTTTTCACCTTGTCAAATTAACATTAATTACATACACAGGAGATTTAAATTGTTTACAAGGGCAAAAAATTAAAAAAGTGATATTTTTGCAATGATTATTAGAAGTGGCATTCAAGCCAAAAATTGATCTGGATTGCAATTCCCTCTAAAATATTTGTATATATAAATCAAAACTTTTAGGGTTTGCTTGATACAAGTCATTTTCCATAGATTCCTTGTTTGATTGCAAGAATTTTCTCTCTCCCATGTGACATTTTTCCTTGATTTGGTGGAAAACCAATTTCTTTGATTTTAGTGAAAATTTGTTTTCCAAGCTTTTTATTTTTTATAATTTTTTTGACAATTACAACAAATTTTATCCACAATTGTAATATATTTAATTGACAATTTTCATGAAAAATAAAGTCAAATGAATACTAAAAGATAGAAATTTTCAACATTTTTTAAGTAAAAAATTATATCAATCAAACACATTTAATTAAAAACTTTCAATAAAATAAATTTTAAATAATTTAATATTTTGATATTCGTTTTCTTCTCACCCAAATTTCATTCCCCTCGTCAATCAAACACCTTTGTTACATTTTAAACTAACATTCTCCAATCACCATTCAAAAGAGTCGGTCAAACATGCCAAAACTGATTCGGTTCTTCAAAAGTTCCCCTTTCTTCTAGCAAGTAGTGACAACTGACAAACCTAGAAAGTGAACTGCAGAAATGGCGCCAAAGGCAACAGTGAAGAAGAAGAAATATCCCCCGTCCGATCCTCATGGTATGTTCTCTGGAATGACAATTTTCTTAATCGAAACTGGTGTACAGACTCGCCGTCTACAGGTTATCATTATATTATATTTGATTTAGGTAAATTACCTCTTGAAATGGTCAGCAGTAGCAATTTGTTGAAAAAATGTTAAATTTTTTATAATTGTAGATTTGGAAGCAAAAATTGGTGCAAATGGGGGCTAGTATCGAGGACCGTTTTTCCAAAAGGGCCACCCATATTTTTGCCGTGAATTTAAACTCACTTCTTCAGAAAGTTGATCGTGAACATTTGACAAGATATAAAGGAGTAAGTATTTTTATTATGCTGAAGTTTTCATTCTTAAAATTTTGGTGATATAACCAAGAATTAAAAATTATGGTTTCCAATTAGATAACCTGGTTATGTCAGTATGTAGTGTACTAGTAAATAATTGAACTTATAGAACGGTACTGTTATACTTAGGAACCACACTGGCGGAAATGTGTTCTTGGGTTTCGGTTGTTTTTTCTTTGTTGATTTATTTTTAATTCTTGAGGAGGTTTAAATTGAGCTGTGAAGGATAGAGATTCTATTTTGTGTTTCAAGGGCCTCCCACCAATTAAGCTAAATATATTGCATTTTGCAGTGAATTAAAATTTTGTCAATAGTAACTTTGAAATGACGGACTTATGATGAGTAACATAGATATTTTTATGGATTCTTAAATTGATCCTACTTTGTGGTAGTTGATAATGGCAGTTCTTAAGATTTACGATGTTCATCAATGCAAAATTGTTACAGAAAGTTCTCGACTATCAGTGGCTTGAAGACAGCTTGAGAGTCGGAAAAAAGGTGTCTGAAGATTCATACATTCTATCAATGGACGCAGTAAACCAAGTGAAACTCATTGATGAAAATCATTCAAGCAACGATGAACCATCTCAACACAAGAAGATCAGAAGCACTATACAGGACTCCAAAGCCGTTAACTCAGAAGAAAGGGATAGAACTTTAGACAATACTCACAATGAGCCCTCAGAAATTGGTACTTCTAGTGCCTCCTCTCGCTCTGTAAGCCCAGAAATAACCGGTCCAATTAGTCTTGACGGCCAAAATAAAGCTGTAAGAGTATGCAATTTTTTCCTATTAAGGGGATGAAATGTTCTCCAAGTTCCTCTATAACATCTGTATGGGGACTAACATGTATATTGTTTTGCACATAAATTTTGTTTTTAGTCTAATGTGGTTTCATAGTCTAGCACATTCTTCTGTACAGGTCTCCACACCTGATGTGTCTTTGCTTTATAAACCTCCTGACTTGAACAGAAATATAACTGAGGTATTCGGAAAGCTTATTGACATTTACAGAGGTGAAACTTGGCAAACATATCTATTTTCGTAATACTTCGGAGTTGCTTGTTTAGAAAACTGACTTCGTTAGTCTGATCTTTAATAATAGCTCTGGGTGATGATCGGAGGTCTTTTAGCTATCATAAGGCTATCCTGGTTATTGAAAAATTGCCTTTCAAAATTGAAAGTGCAGACCAGGTCAAGCACCTAGCCGGGATTGGAAAGTCAATGCAAGATCATGTAAGCAAGTAGTTATGTTATCGGATTCATATTATAGCATTACCTTTGGTGTACAGACTGAATCTTCACTCATTTTTCATCTAAGCCTTTGGGATAACATATCTCTGGTTCATTTTTATCTTATCTGCTACAGATTCAGGAAATTGTGACCACTGGGAAGCTGTCCAAGTTGGAGCACTTTGAGAACGATGAAAAGGTGCTGTACTTGTAATAGTTTGAATGAAAAACTCTTTTAACGGGGTGCATAGTTCTGTTGAATCATGTTGGACAGATTTGATGGCAGAAAATTTTACTTTACCTTCTAATTCCTGACTTTTCTGTTAAAATGGAGTAGGGAACTCTTGGCGTATTATGTGTCCCAGAGGAGCCTGTCATACTCGGATACTCCCTTTTGTTTATATGGATTTTCAACAATCAGCAATACCTAATAGTAATAGATTTATTTAGGTCATGGAGTTTAAATAGTAAAGGACGATGATTTTGTGATAGCTGATTGCTTTCCATTTGATCAGAAATCATAATTTTCCAAATGAAGCTAATGTCTGTAGACTGAGGAATTGTAACGGGTTCCAGAGGATATTAATATATTCCTCATTTATTACTGCTGAATTTTCTTTAATATATTCCCAGATACGGTCAATCAGCTTATTTGGAGAAATATGGGGTATTGGACCCGCCACTGCACTGAAACTTTATGAGAAAGGACACCGGACCCTGGATGATCTAAAGCATGAGGAATCATTAACTAATGCTCAGTGGTTAGGCTTAAAATATTTTGACGACATCAAAACAAGAATTCCACGTCATGAGGTCAGCCTCTATTGTTTTTTAATCATAGTTAACATCATGTAATTTCAATTTTGTATTTTGATCTTTTTATTATATTGTTAACACTTGCGGAAAAAAATATAGGTTCAAGAGATGGAAAGTCTTCTCAAGAAAGTCGGAGAGGAGATTTTGCCTGGGGTATTAATCTTAGTTATTTGTCTTATTTTGGATGCGCTTAATTATCACTCTCTTTAAAACCTGTTGCTCCTGACTATATTGAGTGCCGGTTGTTTATTCTTCGAACTTGGTTTTAATTATCATTTGAAGTCTTTTCTTTTCTTTTC